AGCTTGCGCTTGTGCGGCGGGTCCTCGAGGATCCTGTTGAGGTCCCCGCGGTGCTCCAGGTCCACGGGCTTCTCCCACACGGACAGCTGCATCGTGGGGTTGAAGAAGAAAACCCGGTCATCGCCCGTCCAGACCACGCACCTGTTCCGATGGAAAAACCCACCTGAGTTAGACATTCACGGAGGACACGGTGGGTCGGTGGGTCCCACCCCACGTCCTCCCAGGGGTCTGGTTTCCAAAGAAAAGGGACCACCTCACTTCCGGCCAGAGCACGTCCAGGGAGCCTGGCTGTCCCACGGGCCTCCGCTGAGGCCACCAGCCCGACCTCCAGGGTCCTCCCTGCCGCCTGCCCTCCCCCTGAAGAACTGGAGGTGCTAAGACACCAGAAAGCATGGCTTCCAGAAAGCCCCTCCCCCAACCGTGAGGCCCGGGCACTCCTTACCAGGTGGACACACGCATTTTCCCACTGAGCTCCTGGGGGGTTTTCCCCGTTGGTGCCAGTCAACTTAGGAAAAGTCCATTTCACTAAGAAAGAGGCTCGGGCCCTGGCTCGCATGTTCAGTGGTCAGAGCATCGGCCCGAGCACCGAGGGATCTCAGGTTCACTTTCCGGTCAAGGACAGGAACCTGGGTTGTGGGTGTGCTCCCTGCCCCCTAGTCGGGGTGCATACGGGAGGCAACCAGCCGATGCGTCTCTCACATGAATGTTTCTCTCCCCCTTTCTCCCTCCCTCCACTCTCTCTGAAAAGCAGTGGGGAAAAAAATGTCCTCTGATGAGGATTAAGAAAAAGATAATAAAAAGTTTTTTAAAAAGGAAGAAGCTTTATAGTTGGGGATTTATCTGGCCCCATTCTCTCCCGATCCTAGACTGTCTCTTGTACGTTTGCTGCATTGGGGATGCACCACCTCTGAGCTCAAAGACACTGGTCCAGAGACGCTCCCTGGACAGCCTGGCTGGGAGGATTCCAAAGTGGGGGATTCCCTACCTTCCACCACCGAGCTTCTAAGCAAGGGAACACGCAGTGAACCAGGGGCTTAATAGGGGATTGTTCCCCAGGGAGCGGAGTGACAATTAACTCGGTACATTTCCATCCGGGCACAGAGAGCCCGGCTCCGGGCCAGCGGGACGCGGTGCGACTGAGCCAGATTGCTGGTGGCGGACAATGACAGCAGCAGCTTCCCTTGAAGACACAGACCATCGACTCGTCACAGCTGGTTCCCACTAGACCGAGCCTGCTGTACCATGGGAAGTTAATTTTATGTATCGTTTTAAGTAATACGTGCATGTTCCCCTCCCTTAATCACAGCATAATTCCTGGATGGCGGCCAGACTCCCTCTTCTCTGTTCCCACCCCCAGAGGCTCTGGGCCCTGCACCAGGTTTAAGTCCGGTATGGAGCACCCACACGTAGCAGCCCTAACACGTGAAATCCGGATGTCACCATCGAACTCAGAGCTGCTGCTTCGTGGGGAGCAGGATTCGCACAGTCACCTTCAGGTAGCGAAGCCCAGCATGCGCAGGCTCCACGGGGTGGGGGACATGTCGGCTTCTTCTCCCAGCTCCGACCTCAGCCCTGGAGGGAGGGGCGACATGCCTGGTCCCTGCCCACCCACACAAAGACGCACTGGGTCCCTCTCACCCTCCGTGTTTCGCCCTGTGCGTACCATCCCAGGAGAAGTGCCCTTCGCAGGCCAGAGCCTGGTGTCACGGGGTCACATCCCAGGGCTAAGTCTCGGAATTGAGAGGCAGTGTCTGTATGCCCTTTGCTGTCTTTTCTCTCCTCATTCTACCCCCTACCCCTCTGTCTCGGGGAGGGGCTGACCTGGCAGCATGGTTGAGCCGCCCTGGCTGGTCTCCAGGGTGGGTGGTTGAGGGGCCATGGGGTTTGCAGACACAAAGATTCATGGAGGAGAGAGTAGAACCTCTGTCCCACCTTCCTTCCTATGATGTCCTGGTTTATAATGAAACTAGAGGCCCAGTGCACGAAATTCATGCACAGTCACGGGGTCACATCCCAGGGCTGAGTCTCGGAATTGAGAGGCAGTGTCCGTATGCCCTTTGCTGTCTTTTCTCCTCTCCTCATTCTACCCCCTACCCCTTTGTCTCGGGGAGGGGCTGACCTGGCAGCATGGTTGAACAGCCCTGGCTGATCCCCAGGGCAGGTGGGTGAGGGGCCATGGGATCTGCAGACACAAAGATTCAGGGAGGGGAGAGTAGAACCTCCATCCCACCTTCCTTCCTGTGATGTCCTGGTTTATAATGAAACTAGAGGGGCCCAGTGCACGAAATTCATGCACAGGTAGGGTCCCTAGCAGCTGCCAGCTGCCGGCCGGGGGTGGGGGTAGGGCTCCCTTCCCCCAGCTGCCTGCCACCGCTGCCGCCCCCTGGTCAAACTCCTGGTCAAACTCCCGGTTGAACTCCCAGTAGAGGGGACAATTTGCATATTAGGCTTTTATTATATTATAGGATGGATGTACTTGATCTTTGTCCTGCTTCTGGCACAGAGCTCCCCAGACCCTCGGGGTTTCCTCGGGAAGAGAGCAGACGTGGCGAAGGTGAAATGGTGTGTGGTTATTCTCACCACAGGCGGCGTGGGATGGTGCCTGAGGATGGGCTGGGTGGCGACCAGGGAACCACAGACCTCTGGGCAGGGGAGAGGATGGAGATCGGGTCCCCTCAGCCCTGGCCGATGATGTCATCCATCACACCCGTGTAATGAACCTGCCATAGAAGCACTAGGACAGGGTTCAGAGAGCTTCTGGGTTAGGGAGCATACGGGTTTGGGGGAGTGGCGCTCTCGGGGAGCCCGGGAGCTCTGTGCCCCTTCCCAGACCTCGCCCTGCACCCCGCTCCATCCGCTGGTCCTGAGTTACATCCTTTCATAATGAACTATGAGTAAACCATCTCTGAGTTCGTGAAACATATGTCCCCATATGTTCATATCTAAATAACGAACAAATTCATTCCAGCAAATTAATCAAACCCAAGGAGGGGGCTGTTGGATCCACCGCCGATGGGTCAGAAGCCCAGGTGACAACCTGGACTTGTCTCCAGGGAGACAGTGTCCGACCGGGTTAAACTGCGGCCACCCAGCCGACGTGGAAGAACCACTCCGTGTGTAAACCCGCTCATCCTGTGTCAGGAGTGACGTGTTGCAGGGGAGTCTCAAGCGCGGAGGAGACACGCAGGAGTGTCTTCCCTCCCCTCCCCAGCCTGTCCTCCAACCCCACCATCCCCAGCTCCAGCGCCCGCCCGCCGACAGCGTTTCCTTAGTGGAGCACAGCCGAGGCCCAGAGGTCCTGCTGGCCACTCGGGAACAGGGCGAGGCGGGCACAGTGAGGGGTGCCAGGCAGCTCTGAGCCGGGAAGCGCAGCCTCCGTGTGCTCACCGCTCAGCTCCAGGGTGGGCGGCTCACATCTCTCCCAAAGGCTGGCCAGGCTGGTGCCACGTGACCATCCAGGACAGCTGAGAGCAATGCCTGGGCACCTTTCAACTTGCTGTTTTCCCCCGGGAGGACCTCTTCCAGCCCCTCCTTCTGCGGGGAGGTGTGCCCCGCTGAGGGGCAGATAGAGACACGGGTGGCAGCCTGACCCAATGCCGCCCAGACAGTCCTCACGTCCCCACCCGCAAGGCAGCGCAGCTGATGGCACAGAGACTCAACCAGACCTGGGCCACGTGTCTGTGCGCCCGACCACTATCACTTCAACTCCGCTGCCTCTTGCAAGACTGTATCTACCCATCTCTGTTGCTGCACAGAAACATATGTTCCGTATTTAAATAACAAGCAGCAGGAAAACGCCAGGCAGGGCCCACAGCTGCTGACGGCTCTGCTCTGTGGAGAGGAGACGCGAAACCCTCAGGCGGCGTGGGCTCAACACCAGAACGACGCCCGGGATCCAGCCCATCCCCACAGCACAGCTTTCCGGGGGCTCCATCTGACGGTGGCGAGGGCTTCCATAAGAGTCCGCTCTCAGAGAGATTCAAAGTGCACCTCCTTCGGTGGCATCCATCAGAGCCCCGGCTCATCGCACCCCAGGGGCGGCCAATCTCAGGGGGGTCCCCACTGCAGGCTTCCCTGCCCACCTGCCCACACAGGTGCGACCCATGGCTGTCTCCGGGTTCAAGCGAGGCTGCCTGGACACTAACAAGAATAAGCCGAGAGCGGGACTGGAAGGTCACAGCCCACAGGGTTCCCCGGGACATGCCGGCTGACGGCAGACGGCACCTGGCACCTAGCACCCGCCGTGGCTGTGATGTCCGCCCTCTCAATGCGCTGCCCACCCCCCCCCCCCCCCCCCCCCCCCCAACCGCATCCTGCTCTCTAAGCTCCGGTTCTAAAACTGTTTTTTCCTGGAATAACCTTTTCATTCTGCCTCCAAATCACTCCATGCTGAAAGGGCATTTAAGAACTCAATGCTGCTCGCTCCCAAAGGTATTTGCAGTGACTCCTTGGAGGAGTCCTCACCTTTTTTGTGTGTTTAGCAATTTTACTTTCACTGGTGTCGTTATGAACAGCCACCCGCTACTCTTCCTGGGCACAGGGAACCCTCTGGAGCTAGAGGCACGCACGCGCCTTTTCTGCAGATGCCGGGCTCACCGACGCACACGCGCCGGCATTCTTATTTTAACACATGTTCGCAGATGCCCTGTCCCAGAACCGCATCACATAAACGCCGCTTTCCCCCCTGCAGGATGTGAGCGCGTGCAGAACTGTACCTGCCACGAACTGCCAATTAACGTTTAAGCCCCAGTCTCACCTGAGGAGCACGCATCCCTCTCTGGTGACAAGGCAAGGCTCTAGCTCCTTGCTCTCGGGGTTCAGGGCCTCTTACCAGGGGGAGCCGGGCACCGGAGTGGAGGCCACGGGTCTGCTGCCTTTGGCCGCACTGTCCTCTCCTGTCACGAGGATCGGTGGAGGCTCCTTTCAGCAGAAAGAGAAGGAGAGCGCCTTTTATGGTTTTATTTAAACACTCGTCTTCAATGACAGGCAACCAAGTAAAGAATAACAAGTCTCCTGCAGACAGACCTGCCTACAGTGCCCGTGAGATAATGACCTGCTCTGAACAGCACAGCCAAAGGGACCAGGCAATTAGGCTGAGAAGATGGAATTCGCGGCACAGCAGAGCGTGGGGAGTAACTCAGACACAGGCATCCTAATTATCCCGAAGGAGCCACACCGTCTGCTTTCACAGGCAGGAGACGGGCAGAGCAGCCAGAGGTGGCTCCCGGGTGCCGTAAGTTCTTGGCGGCAGACAAGCCCGCCGGATTCATCTCCGGAAACAGGGTGACCCAGCGGCTGGAGTCACTGTGCCACCAAAACACTACAGTCGGGGGCAGAGAAACCGAAAGCTGTGAGAGGCCCTGGTGCAGCTGGGGCTGGCCCATCCCCGTCCCTTGACAGCAGGAGGGAGCGATGAGCCACGACCTTGCAGAGGCTGGTTGCGCCCTTGACCGTCCCCTCCTGGAGCTCCCAGCTGGGGCCAGAGTTCAAGAGGCAGTGCAATGTGCAGGTGGTTTGTACACAGCTGGGTTTGAAAAACACCGTGTTTCTGTGTCTCTATTTATAAAATAAAGAGGAGGCCGTGAACACCTAGAAGAAAATGGAGATTTATTTTCCCTAAACTTAAAAAGAAAAAGAAGCCCAGCCGGCGTGGCTTAGTGGTTGAGCGTCGACCTAGGAACCAGGAGGTCATGGGGAGAGTCCTGGTCAGGGCACATGCCCGGTCGAGGGCTGGATCCCCAGTGGGGGGCGTGCAGGAGAAGCAACTAATGATTCTCTCTCATCGATGTTTCTCTCCCTCTCCCTTCCTCTCTGAAACCAATAAAAATATATTTTAAAAAAGAAAAAGGAAACCCCACGTGTCTATACGGTGAGATAAATCTCCAACACATACACCAACCGTGCTCTGTCCAACATGGACGACAGAGGGAGGCTGCGGCCCGTGGACACCGTCCACCCGTGAGCTGAGGACCAAGAGGGCTCATGTCATCCGGACCAAATGGCCGAGAGGAAGGACGAGCAGCCCTGGGGTGGAAACGTTCACCCGGGAGCGTCCCTGCGTGGTCTCCGGACGGGCACACCGGGCGGGGCGTCTGCTAACTGACAGACGAGTCAACCCAGGAAGGAGGGGTCATCCATTCACACACACATCTTGGTGTTGTCCTGGGTCTCCCCACGCCCCTCCGTTCTTTGCGACAAGTAACTACCCTACGGAAATGACTTTTAAGTATATGGTCGCCCCTCGGTTTGTAAGCTTCAGAGCGATCTCTCTTGGAACTTGGGGGTAGAAGAAACTGCCTTTGCTTCCTGTGATCGAACGAGGCCAAGAAGAATAATTCACAGGACAGGGAATATTCTGAAAGGGTTGCATTGAAAAATACATTAAGACCGGAGTTTATATTACTAATCCAATTAGAAAAACGAGGGGAAAGTTTCATTGTGGGGCTAATTGAACAGGCGAAACCCAATGAGGGGCTGCGGAGTAGTAGACGATCCCGCTAATTACTCGGGGAAGGATGGTGGGCCGTGATTTGTGAGGGGCGGACACTTAAATTCGGCAGCGCTGGGACTGGGAGCCACTAATTGCCGAGGCCCTCGCTCGTCCCGAGGCCCGCGCAGGTGATGGCTTCCTGTTGGTGATAAAAAATGGCTAATCAAGGCATAAAGCTCCCCTTCCACGCTGAGGTAATAAAAGTGAATTAGACACGCAGAGCAAAGTGATAAAGAAAGTAGTTAAGGCCCTAGAAAGACTGATTAATAAATGTCACCCTGGTACAGCTCGGCTCTCTCAGAGCGAAACCCTCCACCGAGGAACAAAACGTTCATTTGCACTAACATCCGGGATCCGTTCACGCCAGTTCCTGGGCACTGAGATGGGCAGGAGGCCGTGGACACCGCGGTGGTGCCTGGACTGCCACGCTGGCAGGAAAACCAGGGAACAGGGCCACCACAGGCCCGAGGCAGAGACCGCTGAGCAAAGCCGAGTGAGAGGGAGTGTGAAGGGTGCACTGGGCGGACCAGGGGCCTCGGCCCATCTGACAGATCCGGACAAAATAAGCCCCAACTGTGATTTCCCAATGCAGCCACGATAGCGGATCTCTGGGGTTCTTCACGTGACAGCAACGTGCCGCATGCATTCATGGTTGGTCCTTAAAATGCCTTTGGCAATCGGGCAAAGAGAAGGTCTAAGACCAGAACGTGTTAAAGAAAACAAATGTGTGTTGGGTTTTCTTGAAAAGCCAATGCCAAACACCGACACGCCTTGCCCGAGGGGTGCCTGCCGCAGCCTGGCCGCTCTGCGTGCACAAGCTTCCCCGTGAAATGTGGGGACAAGGACACGGGAGCGAGGGTCACACCCAGCGAGCTCTGCTCTCCCAAGCCTCTCCCACGCTGTATCCTTCCCGGGGCGTCCGCTGCAATTTCTGGGTGTGACCGTCCTGCACAGGGACTGGCCAAGCATCTGTGCACATCCCCACGTGGGAAAGCCGGTGGGAAGGGTGTGCAGCCCAGACCACCCGCCCCCTCCCCCCCGCCAGGATTTCATGTCCCGAGACTGACCTTGTGTCCTTCGTCCCTGGCCGGGCTCTTCCTCTCCGCACGCAGCATCAGGGCAGGAGGGCGGGGCGTGCGGACCCGGTCCCTGCTTTTCTCTGCTGGACCAAAACAGTCGTCATTAGCATCCCCTTGGTCACGTCCGTTTGGAGAAAACTAAACAAGGGCAACATGTGGCCTGGACGGTGGTCTCGTGGCAAGTCCCTCCAATGAGGCCCAGCTCCTCTGGTGACCCCATCTGTGCCTGCTCGCAGCCCCACCCCCAGTGCTGTCAGCCACACCTCACGACCAGGCCACGTGGGCTACGGCTGGAGGGGACACGGGCTCCCTGACAAGGACAGGAGGCCAACGGGGACCAGGTTTCTTAGGCTTCCACGGCTCGTGGCCACCACTCCTGTCTGCTCATCGCTAACGTGGCCGCTGGCTTCGCCATGGACCAGACAACCCTGCACGTCCAAGAGTAGTTGTTTGGGAGACAGAAGGGGAAACGTCAAAAAAACTGGATTCTGAACATAAAACAATTTAGGTTTCATCTTGTTCTAAAACGTCTACAGAGACCTTAAGCTTTTGTGAGTGGGAGAGAGGTGCCATGAACGACGCCGGGATTAACCACTGTTCATACCAAGAATTAGGAGAGGAGCCCAAACCATCAACCTCCCACCCACCTCACAGCCACAGCCACCGAGGAGCCCTGAGGCGCCTCATGGCCCTGCAGGCCAGGACCCTGTGGAAGCCTCTGTCCAGCCCAGGAAGGTCCAGGGAGGGCCTGGCGGGAGGGACGACATGAAGACAGTGGCATCCCTTTACACACGTGTGTTCCTCTGCAAATGCACACGCACACACGGAAGTGGCAGAAAGTTGCCTCGAGGTCCCCTCCAACTCAGGCATCTGCACTTAGAAGGTAGAGGTGGGGGGAAGGGCCAAAGAGCCCATCCCACCTGCACCCCATTTTCCTCAAGACATGGCCACTCTGGCCTCCTCTGACCCCCATTCTGGGGAGGAGGTTTGCAGGAAGGGGCCACGTAGGCTGGACCCCACGTGGGGCCTGAGCATCATGCCTCTGGAGGCGTCTATGCAGGGAACCCTCATGGCTGCAGGCAGCGCAGAGGGGACAGCTCTGGACCTGGACCGATGTCCGGTCCCCACGGGGCTGCTGCCTCTGGAAAGGCTGAAGCACACAGAGCCGATGGGCCCCCTTGTCTGTCACGTGAGAGATGGGTGGACAGCAACGTTACGACCACAGCGAAGCTTGCTGCCCACTAGCTGTCACTCTGAAGACCCCGAGGGCTCTCCCCAGCAGCCAGCTGGCGGGTCAGGCTGTTAAGGGGCCCGGAGCTCAGGCTGATGGCAAACAGACCATGTCCTCACACAGAGGCGGCACCGGCCCCAGAATCCTGAGCAGCTGTGGCCACAACCAAGAGGCATGCCTCGAGGCCCGGCCATGCCAATACCGGTCTGATCACGACTGGCCTTGGGGAAGGCGGACAGGGAAGGTCGCCTGGAAGTCTCGGGGGGCGGGGAACGGGGCCCAGACGGGAAATCTCTACGTAGATCACCTGTCGAGTATGTATTGCCTGCTCATGGGGAGCCAGAACAGCCTGAGGTGTTTGTGGGGAGCGATCAGCTTCTTCCCTCAAAACGCATCAGGACCTGGCAAGGCTGACCCAAGGGCAGCGCAGGAGAGGAGCCCTTGGGGGGGGGGCGGTGACAGTGGCAGGACCTTATCCCCTTGAAAAGTGGGGACAGAAAAGCCGGGCTCCTTCTCTGGGGCAAGACGTAGCTTTGCACACTCTCGCGGCTCAGCAATTCATCGACCTCGTTCCTGTAAGAGAAGAATGCAGCGGGCTTGCCCGAGTCCAGACCCCACGGCCAGCTCTCCAGCCTGTCGCCTCTTGGTCAGTGGTCCAGATCGAAGGCACCTGCTCTCTGAGAGTCTCAGAAATGAAGACGCAAAGGCACCTGCCATCCCCTGGGGTCAGGCCCCAGATCAAGGGCAGCGTGGACGCGACAGGAGGGGACGGGCCAGGAGTGGTTGTGTGCCCTGGCTGCGGCAAAGGAGACCCACGTCGAATAAAGCACTAGGATGTGTTTAAACATTCAAAAAATGGATTTTTAAAAATGATTGAAACAAAGAACTATTGCAGACAAGTCGAAATGGTCTAACTTGTCAAAAAGATGCCCGGCCAGTGTGGCTCAGAGGGTCACAGTTCGATTCCCAGTCAGAGCACGTGCCCAGGTTGCCGGCTCCATCCCCAGTGTGGGGTGTGCAGGAGGCAGCCGGTCAGTGATGTTTCTCTCCCATCGCTGATGTTTCTATCTCTCCCACTCTGAAATCAATAAATATATATATTTTTTTAAAAAAGAAAAGAAAAGCCCTACCCGGTTTGGCTCAGTGGATAGAGTGTTGGCCTGCAGACTCAAGGGTCCCAGGTTCGATTCCAGTCAAGGGCATGTACCTTGGTTGCGGGCACATCCCCAGTGGGGAGTGTGCAGGAGGCAGCTGATCAATTTTTCTCTCTCATTGATGTTTCTAACTCTCTATCCCTCTCCCTTCCTTTCTGTAAAAAAATCAATAAAAATATATTTTTAAAAAAGAAAAAGAAAAGAAAACAAGACCTGAGACATATATCAGCATCTCCTAATTCGAGGAGTGATTCTGAAATTCAACCTAATTTTAATTCAATAATATTGACATCTCCCGGTCTCAGCTTCCTCATCTATGAAATAATTTCCTAAGTCCCTTCCCATTCTGGGATTCCATAAGTCCACAGGACGCCGGGAACTGCCTGGCGTACACCCCAAAGCAACACAAGACGAACACGGTGGCCTCGGAGGGCCGGTGAGAACACGCTTCCTCTAGATCCTGCTGGGGACGGGGGCTCATTCCCAACTCAAGGACACGGAGTGGCCCAAGGAGTAGGCAGGACAGAGGATCCACTGCTCCTGTTCTGAAAAGCTAAGCGACCTCTGACGGACTGTCCCTTTGGAACCAACCTTCTCCGAAGAATTTGTGGGAAGCCTCCCCTTAGACCGAGAGGACCCCCGGCCCACACATGATCCGAACCACATGCCCTGGAGGCGCCGTAGCTCGGAGGGGACAGTGGGATGAGGAGTTCCTGGTTGTGGCAGACCACTGGCCCTTCCGGGAAGGGTTTATGAAGAAAATCCACCGCGACACCTGTGCACCTGGCCTCGGCCCGCAGCCAATGGAAGGCCCCCTGGGATGAGCTCGGCAAACAGGTCATTATCGGGGACCCGTGCTGGGGACGGATGACTCTCTGGTGACCTCCATTCTTGGAGAGCCCCGGGTAGGATGTGGGGGAGGCAGGGGACAAGCCCGGAGCCACTGGGGCCCATTTCCTGTCGGCCACAATCCAGGGGCCCCATTTCTGTGTGTAGATGTTCTCACCTCCAAGAACACATAACAAACTACCCACCTACAGAGACGCCGTAAGGCAGTGGTTCTCAACCCTCTGGCCCTTTAAATCCAGTTCCTCATGTTGTGACCCAACCATAAAATTATTTTCCTTGCTACTTCATAACTGTAATGTTGCTACTGTTATGAATCGTCATGTAAATATCTGATATGCAGGATGGTCTTAGGCGACCCCTGTGAAAGGGTCGTTTGACCGCCAAAGGGGTCGCGACCCACAGGTTGAGAACCGCTGCCGTAAGGAGAAGAATGGGCGGCATTTTAGTCCAGCGTCTGCCCGTAAGCGCCACCTGAAAATCATTTCCGCAGCCAGCAGGGCAACCTCCTCGCTCACACAAAAGGAAAAGAGACGAGGTGCGCTGTGTTCCAGGTGACAAGTGAGCCTCCAGGGAGGGCTACGATTATTTGTCCATTTAAGCAGCACTGGGCTCCTTTGAGAATCGTGATAATAAGGGAAAAATGCAATTTATGTTTGAGATAATAGAGATGACACACTCAGGCCCACTGTCTGCGGCTCTCAATGAGGCTTGAAGAATGCATTGATTTTCAGAGCCTGCCTCCTCCGCAGGAGCGGAAACACTGAGGGGACGGGGTCCTGGGGAAAGCGGCCGGAGCCCGGCCTTCACGCTGCCCGAGGGGGAAATCGCACAAGCTGCTGGCCCAGGTGACAACGGAGGTGAGAGAGACACAGCCAGCCCCAGAGAAGCCTGGGGGACCCGGGGGCTGGGATTGACGGGGTGCTAGGGGGGCCTGGCTGCAGCTCAGTGAGGGGAGCCCAGCACAGAGCCCAGGCCCCCTGACCTTGGACATGGTCACTGTCCAGTCCAGCTGGGAGCACAGGGCTAGGGGGCTGAGAGGAGGGATCCTGGGCTGCCGGGGGCACACACCGGGCCCTGCTGCCGGCTGTGATGGAAGCAGGCACCAGGGGCTCAGGGACCCTCCATCTGCACCCGCCTCCCGCACACGCGCACAAAGATAAGACCATTATTATGATGATGGATTTGTAGCGATTACAGGTGATAGATAAATGGATTCCTCTAAATCCACTGTTTAGTTAGAACGGAAGAAAGGCTGACGCATGTATGCAAAACACAAACAAGCAAAATGTCAGCATTGCGACTTTCTAAAGGTGACATAAAAAATAAGTCGTCTGTTATAGTAAAAACCTCTGCATACCAGGCTACTTCGGGACGGAAACTGCCCCAAAGTGTATGGTTCCCTGATCAGGGGTCCACCACCCCTCCCGGGCATGCAGGGGCAGGGGAGGGCTGTGCCTGGTCTGCCACGGCCACAGAGGTGGCAGGTCCGCAGCAGGGACAGAGTTCCCGGGGACGCCAGCCTGCATGCCTCCTGTCCCCGCCGGAGTCTGACCGTGCTCTCCCACTGCCACTTCGCTGGGTCTTGAACGAGGTCTGTCTCCACTATTTTTCCTTCTAGCAATCGACCTGGTGTGCTGCCTTTTATCTCCCAGCCTCTTCAGTGCGACAGTTATGAAGTCTCCCCTCTCTCACCCCCAGGCTTTTCATCTTCCCCGAGTTCTCCTTGGAGCTTTAACAAACTGCTGCCGCCACAGGGGCCTAGAGTTGTTGGAGTGGAAACAGCAAAGCTCAAGGCCCCAAGGCCCCTGCCCCAGCGGGTGCAGACCCCAGCGGGTACAGACTCTGG